CACACACGCACACAGATACAACAGCGAATAATGAGCCAGCCCGCTCAATTAAAGAGAAGCTCGCTGCCCCATTCAATCAGCAAATTAATCATGTGTGTCCTTTGGCTGCGGGGCGGGGGGCGGGCCGCCTCAGCCCATCCCCATCCAGTGATGCATCACACTGGCAGATCTGCGCCGTTTCAAAACTGACCTAAATTTCGATTGGAAGTTTTCTATCGCTTAAACTCTGACACGATTCTTATTTAGTGTCAGCCGAAGGGCGAGACTTTGATTGGCGGGTAGCGAACCTAGTGTTACGTCATAAAGTTTATCAGGAGTTGCACATTCGCTGCATCAGTCTAAACCCTTTCAGTCAAATTGTTAATCGTAACTCTAAGTATGGCACATATAATTCTCTGATTGAAAGACTAGGGAAAATTCATCTATATCGTGATTGTCAAAATATCATAATCATGATTTATACTTATTCATTATTCTGTATCTTTTTCAAACCACAGTCCTGAATTCTTGTTATTCCCTTTTACACAACGGTTTGGCTAGCGCTCCGAACTGGTTTCCGGGCACCTCGTTTGGGCAGTGTTGGCACTGTTGACATCTATCACAGATTTCGCCAACCCTTCCTTTCAAGTCTTTTTGGCAATCGGCTTCTTTAAATGCATTAAGGTGGATTCAGAGTTCCCTAAAAGCGCGCGTGATTCTCACGCAAAGCGTGATTTTCACGCCCGGCGTGATGAAAGTCGATTCCTGATTGGCTGCGTGAAGCTTACGAAGCGTGAAAATCACGCCTGTCGTGAAAATAACGCTTGCGTTTCGTGAACTCTGAATCCACACTAATGCCATAAAATAATACTATACAATGCCGTGGCAAGACAGACTTCTGTTTTTGAAATTTGAAGTAATCGTCGAGTAGCTGTTTACAATCTTGATTACATAACTAAACCTCTAACTAAACTAGGTTTGCCACAAACACTTTAAGATTCCGGCGTAAGGCAGGATGCCTACTGATTTGTCATTCCCAGCGTTTCTAGCAATGCACTATATTTTTAATATAAAAAAGGGTTCTTTTGTATTTGTATGTTAGCAGCGGGGGACTGCGGGCAGCAGACGAGTCTTTCAGCACAACCGTTGAGGACCAACATTTAGTAGGTAGATTTATTTCAGCGTACTCCTGTCATGTTAGTCAGAAACTTATTTCTACTACGTCACTTCGATTTGTTTAGGTAAACAAAATAATTTTTGAACAGAACCGAGAACATACCAAGGATTCACGCGTTATTTTACGTGAGAGCGATATTCGCTGGTAAATTGAAATTTATATCGTGACGTAGCAACAATAAATTTTTGCATGTTAACTCTACCGGGAGTGTCCTAGAGACGTGTGGTCGTCGTGGGGGGCACCCGGGCCGCGCCCCTCGAGGGCCCCCTGGGGATGGCTATGGACGCCCTTACGTTGGCCTGCCGCCGCAGCCCCACGCCGCTCTCATGTCATCGGTTCCACGACTTGCTCTTGTAGCGGCACATGAGCACCTTCTTGAAGGCTTGGCGGAACACCTTGTTGAAGATGGTGTAGAAGATGGGGTTGACCATGGACGAGGCGTACCCCAGCCACGTGGCACAGTCGAAGACAGCCTGGTGGATGTCGCGCTCGCAGTCCAGCCCGCAGAGCGACGGCACCAGGTTGAGCACGAAGAAGGGCGCCCACAGGATGACGAAGGTGAAGAAGACGACCCCGAGCACCTTGGTGGCCTTCTGCTCGAGCCGGATGATGCGGCCGTGGCGCGAGGACGTCCTGGACATGACGGACGAGTTGCGCGAGTGGTGGCTGCGCACGGTGGCCGTGCGGGAGAGGCTGGACGAGCTGTAGCGCAGCGCCATCGAGTCCTCCTTGGCGAAGTGGCTCACGCCGTTGTTGGGGTAGCGGACGGTGGCGGCGCGGCGCAGCAGCGGCAGTCGGTGGCTGGGCGTGCCCATCCCCCGGTGGCTCGGGGACGACTCGGTGCTGCTGCTGGGGGCGGCCACCAGGGTCGTCCTCACGCTCCCGCCGCTGCCGCCCCCGTTGCCAGGGCAGCCGCCACCGCCACCGCCACCGCCGCCCCCGCTGAGCCCGTTGAGGCTGGAGCGCAGCGCCGGCCCCCGGGGCTCCCACGTGACCACCATGTTGTTCATCTTGACGGGGGTGGCGGGTGGCCCTGGGGCGGCGCCCGCCGGCGCGGGGCCCTTGGGGATGTCGCAGCTCTTGCTGAGGTGCTGGCGCAGGCTGGAGTGCAGCTTGTTGGTGTCGAGGCCGGCGCCGTCGCTCGAGGGCACGATGATGATCTCGCTGCTGCGCGCGCCCGCCGCCCGCTTGTCCGCGCCCTCCCCGAAGTACGGGCAGGTGCATGGCGGCGGCAACGGCAACGTGGGTTCGGGGCTGCGGCCAAGGCTGCGGGTCGAGCTCCGCGTCGAGCTCCGGGCAGGCGCGGCGGCGGTGGCGGCGGCGGACATCCGCGGGGGATCCCTCGGGGTCTCGGGGGCATTGAGCTGCGGCACGGCCAGGGTGACCCCACCATCCTGCCGCACCCGGTGGCCCCTCTGCTCGTGGAAGCTGTGCGTCCGCCGCCGCACGAGAGACGCGTCCTCGCCGTCCTCCTCTGCGGTGGAGTCGTGGGCGTTGTCGTCCTGGAGGTGGTGGTGACGGTGCTGGTGTCGGTGGGCAGAGTCGTGCCGCCGCGCGGGCGGGGTGTTGAGCGCAGACTCGCCGAGGCTCACCGAGTGCACCGAGGGTGTCGGCGAGGTCGCCGACTTCTCCCTGCAAACGGGGAAGCGGCTTTCAGAACTCCGTGACGTCAACTGGGAATGTGGTGTCGAGCACGTCATCCACTCCTGCCAAGGTCAAGGGCGCAGGCCGATAACTCACCGGAAGCTGTCGCTGCGCGCGCGCGTGACCAGGCCGAGGCCCGGGAGCGGCAGGGGCAGGGGCAGCGGCAGGCCGTGGCCCCGTGGCATGTCACGGTGCAGGTGGTGCTCGTCGTCCTCGTCATCCTCGTCCTCCTCCTCGCCGCCGGAGCCGCCCGCCTCGCCACCGCCCGGCGCGCCCAGCCCCCGCGACAGTTTGAGCATCTCGACGCCAAACTGGTGCAGGGCGGACATGGTGGAGGGCGTGGGCTCGGGCACGGAGCTCTCCGGAAGCCAGAGCTCGTGCGTGTCCAAGGTGGTGAGCTCCGTGTCGGTGGACGCGATGTGCTGCATGTGCTGGGGCGTGGAGCACGCCGACGGCGGGCCCGGCCCGCGGTTGTTGAGCAGGCGCCGCCACTTGCGCCGCTCCATGCCTGGAACACACACCCACAGAGTCACAATGAGCGCTCGAGACGAGGGGTATACCGCACGACCGCAGCCGCCCGAACCACGGCGTGCAGCCCGCACATCCACCCGCCTCTTGTGCAACGACTTTACTCGACTAGAATAACCGCAAGCCCACGGCTGAACCCGAACCCCAACTAAAAGACTCTCCTACCACGCCAACCGCGAACAGGCTGCTCTTTCCAACGGAATTGGGCGAGGTCAATTGCTGAGTGGTGGATGCTGATAGTGGAGGGGGGGGGGGAATTATCATGCCCCACCTCTGCTCACTCAGGGTAGGGAGGGATAAACGAGGTTCAGAAGAGACCGCGCCGTCCGCGAGGGCCCCATGCACCTCTCAGCGCCACCCCTCCCGCTCCTCCCTCCCTTCCATGCCGATTTCACCATCGCAGCATATCTCCTCTCCCACAAGAGCCGCGCCACGCCCCCGCTCCGCCCTTAGCCGTGGTGGGGGGTGGCACTGCCGTCTGCAAACCAGCACTCGGCGGGGAATTCAAAGAATAATAGGGGCAATCAGAGGGAGGCTCGTCGGCTTCAAGGCTCCCCTGTGGCGTGGGGTTGGGGGAGGCGAGGGCCGAGGCGAGGGCTGACGTGCAGCCGGGTAGAGGCCTCTCGACTGGGTGTACGTCGCCGTCACGTAGGGTCTCGCGGCTCTCTGATCGCGGCGCGGTCGGGCGGTCGGGCGGTCGGGCCGGGGGTTAGGGAGTGGTGCACGGCTGCGCGCGCGCGGCGCGCCTGGGATGATCCTTAGTCGTTGCTTCTGTCCCCCTGACCTTTCGCTTGATCTCGCAGCCTGCTCGGTGGCCTCTGCTGCTGTCCCCCGGCTGTCCCCTAGCTCTGCCCCGACCTCGCTGGATGTCGCTGTCCTACAGCAGCCGGCAGCTCCCCCTTTTATTCCCCTCATACCACCCCTCCTTCTCCCTCCCCCCGCCCCCACGTGACCCCTGCTCTGCGGGGTCCTCCTGTCTCCTCTTACTATTCCCCTTCCAATCCGATGGCGGAGGATCAGCGACTAAATTAGGGCCGGGGCGTGGCGCGGCCGGGCCTCGAGCAGCCGAGCCTCAAGTGGGTGAGCCAATTGAGGGCACCGCCTGTTGTGGCCGAGCCGGCCGAGCCGCGTCCTCCCGCCCAGACCCAACAACCAATTATTTTTACCCTCATCAACTACAGCAACAGACCGGCCAAAGAAATAATAATGATGATAGGTGGAGTAGTTTTAATAGCGCAGACGTAGTAGATCTTATACATAATATAAAGAAGATGCGAGGATGGCACTGCCGGATCGAAAACCTGTACGTCAACACAGACGTGGGACGTGGGGTATTACTGTTCTGTGAAGAGCGCAGAGCGCCCGACCACGCGCGCATAGGCCGGCAGGCGCGCAGCCGTGCTGTGCGGGTCTGCCTACGCGCCGGCTGGCAGGGGCTCCGGCTACGCCGGGCTCCACAGCCGGGCTCCACAGCCGGGCACCACAACCGGGCACCACAACCGGGCACCACAGCCGGGCTCTACAGCCGAGCTCCACAGCCGAGCTTCACAGCCGGGCTCCAAGGCCGGGCTTCACAGCCGGGCTTCACAGCCGGGCTTCACAGCCGGGCTTCACTGCCGGGCACCACACCAGGGCTTCACGGCCGGGCTCCACAGATGGGCTCCACCACAGCTGGGCTCCACAGCTGGGCTCCACAGCCGGGCTCCACAGCCGAGCTCCACAGCCGGGATTTCACAGCCGGGCCCCGCCAGTCCGACGGAGTGGGGCGCCGTGCTGCCGGCCGGACTTGGCAAATAACCACGCACACGCGCAGCGCGCGCAGCGCGCGCAGCGCGCGCAGCGCAGGCAAACACGCCGCCGCTCGGCTCTCTTTTTCCTCGTTTTGCCCTGTTTAATGTTTAATGTTATTCTTGTCCCGGGCATCTAAAATCAACATGCAGAGCGCGTTTATTATTATTGTCCGGGCGCGTCGTGTGCGGCCCGCGCCGCATACCGACCGCGCGGCACGAACGGGCGAGCCGCACAGCGACAGCCCGGGTTCGAGGGAAAAATGCACAGAGAAATACACTGTTCAACTAGCTTGCACGTGCAAGTGATTAATTAGCATACTACGTTGCACACGTTAAGTGTTTGACTATTTCAAAGTAACGCTGGTTCCCCTTTTTTTAAAAGTAAATGTTTTGTAATTTTGAACTGTTTTGAGTTAAAAACTGACTAATTAGGAGTTTTTACCCGGGTCGATGATCCTAATATTCTTCTATAGGAATGCTGATAAAACAGTGCTGTTGGGTATACGAAACGACCCAGCAGTAGCCATGAGAGATTCTGCCGCCACCCCAGCCAGCGCCTCAAGGCAGTTTCCACGCGAGGGCGCGAGGCTGCACACAAGAAGTTCATTGACACTAATGCAAGGTGGGCACGCGCTCGAGGCGGGCGCTGTTCCATAAGAACTGGTCAGGGGAGCGTGGGCTCTTTCATGAGAAGCAGGAGGAGGATTGTGTGAAATAAATGTAGGGCTTTGTCTTGGGGACAAAAGGGCCCCAGCTCCAGTCCGAGTCTGGGTAGGGATAGAGGTGGTAGCAACAAAGGGGCTCTCGGCCCGGTGCCCAGCCAGTCGGGGCGACGTATGCGTATGATCCTTACAGGTGTGTCTGTGTATGTGTGTGTTTGTAAAATAGGGCGGAGGGAGGTATGGCTTATTCTACGGCTGAAATCTATTCGGAAACAAAGCTACTTGTTCCCGCCTGCGTTTTTGTCCTAATGACTAACTACGAATTACCACACCCAGAAAACAAGGTTCTTGAATCAAGTAAATGTCCTTGGAAAAAGTCATTTTCCTGTGCTACCTGTGCTAGGAAATTGTCTTGTTCCAAGGATATTTACTACTTGGTTCAAGAACCTCGTTTTTTTGGGTGCAGTTATAACCATAATTGGTGACCAAATATTTGTACACCTGATTACCTTTTGTATACCCAAACCACTTCTATTACGTTTTTGTAAGAATTTATTTCTTTTGTTGTGAATTTGTTTTTTTACGAAATTTTGCAACGCGGATATTATTTTGGCACGGCGTTCTGTTCCTCACCTGGCGTGGGCCCAGCCGAGGGGATCCAGCCGGGGCTCCAGCCCTTGCCGCCGCAGAGGCTCTGCTGCTGGAGCGCGAGCAGGCGCACGGTGAGCGCGTAGGTGAGCAGCATCACGCCCAGCGGGATGTAGAAGCACACGATGCTGCCAATTAGCTTGTACAGCGGGTCCGGGATCTGGCACGTTCCGTCGATCAGCACCGAGTCTTGGTTCTGTAAAGGGCAGAGAGAGAGAGAGGTGTAAGTACCGGGGCTTACAGAGGAATAAGGTCGTCATGGCGGCGCTAATCTCCGCCGCGACCACACGAGCAGGTCTCGCGGGGCCTTGCAGCCTTGCACGCAGCGCCGCCCACCCGTCAGGCGTTACAGCCTCGGTTACAGCTCAAGGGCCCAAGCAGCAGCACCCTCACCGTAGCGCGCCTACACCAAGAAAATGGCATCCTTGAAACAAGGCTAAATGCGTACCAAAAGTACCAGGAAAGTTGTCTTTGACTTAAGGCAAACTGCGTTAAATCAATGTCACAATTTCTCTAAATCAACTTAATTACCTTTAAAATAACGGAAAAACCTTGAACCAAGGTCAAAACGTTACCTTGTATATTTTTTAAAAAGAAATTTCCTTGGTTGAAGGATACCATTTTCTGGGTGTACGAGACGGGAGGCGCCACGGCGCAGACATCCCTGAGCGATACCTCGATACCGGTGTGAGATCATCTTGATATCGAGAGGGAGATATGATTTACCAATGTCGTTCTCTTTTTGGTCCGTTGTGGTACAACATCAAACTAACCTCTTGATTTGATTGTGTCAATTTACAAAGAGATGTTAGGGGCCTTCTTTCAAATATGGTGCGGGATCGTTTTCTCAGTTACCTGTCGAGTCACAAAGTATTCTTTTGTTTACAAATACAAAGAATCCGTTTAGAAAAAGTGACGGACTATTTTTACGATATAATTCACGCTAGCTATATTTTCAACAGTGAGATTGTGGTGGCAAAATCCAGATTTCGCCCCTACATATACTGGAGGTACGGCGCTGTTTTGACGTAATGTTTTGCCTCGAGTTCTCCGCTGTGCTTCAGGGCTAAACAACCTGGCACTTTGCTGTCAGTGTTGTGTCTCGCTGCGGGAGTGCACGGGG